AAATTTTGAAACATTGCCCTCATCTTTAATAAACTAAAAGATCGGGGGTTGACGGCACACCAACGGCGTTTATTGTTTTCTGTTTTACTGTGCATTTCCTTCGTTGATTTTCATTTTCCTTTTGGTCTTGCTATATAAAATCATCCTAAAGCAGATCTACATGATCTACTGCATATTAAGAGAAACTCAGAGCCAGATCGAGAGGAAGCAATCAACAACACCTGCTTAGTTACAAACTCTGTAAGTATTCATTTCCATCTGCCTGTCTACCCTCTTCTCTTTTTTCTTTTTTCTTTATCTTTTTTTTTTTTTTAATGATTTTGTAGTATAACTTATGATTTGTGCTTGCACCCTTCTCCAGGTATTGCATCTTCTTGGTGAAATCCATACTCTGCTCCAAAGAGTATAGATTTACATTAATTATTCCCAAGTAGTCGGTGAAATTTGCTATCTAACATTGAAGAAGCTATATATCTCAACTAGGTATCTAAGGGTTTTCTTTCTTCCTAGATTGTGTTCTTTTTTCTACTTCTTTTATTTTATTTTTTGATTTCTTACATCAGGTTCTAGGTTATATGCATTTTTTTCATTTCTCAAATCCCTTTCTAATTTCTTAAAGATTTAAATTTAAAGTCATTAAATTAAAAATATCAAGTTTAATTTTAGCCAATTAAATCTCCTTGAGAGTCCCTTTTTTTTTTCTTTTCTTTCCTACAGAAACATAGACTAACTATAAAAAGTATTAATTTATTAAAAATTTTAAAATTTTATATCTTGCTAAAAAAATTTAAATATTTTTTACTTATTTTTTAATTGTCTAAAAATTTTATTTACAGTTAAATCTATATGATATCACTTAAATTACACTTGTATTTCAAATTTTGAGACATTGCAGACATCTTCAGAAGTTTACAGATGGCGTGTTGACTTCATGTCAACGACATTAATTTTTTTTTAGTGTGCCTTTCTTTATTTAATTTTCATTTCCCTTTTGGTCTCGATAATCAAAATCATTCTAAAGCAGATCTACATGATTTGGTGCATATTTGGGGAACCTCAAAGCCAGATCGAGAGGAAGCAATCAACAACACATGCTTAGTTACAAACTCTCTATGTATTGACTTTCATCTCCCTGTCTACCTTCTTCTTTTCTTTTTCTTTTTTATTTTTGGTTAAATTCCCATTTTGATCTTTCTATTTTGATAATAAATTCAATTTTAATCTGTTTACTTAAAAAGCTCTTTTTTATTCTTAAAGTTTAAAATCTGGCTATTTTTTAGTTCTTCTATTAGGTTTTGCATATGTACTACGTTAAATGATGAAAATTTTAAAGTAGAGGAATAAAAAAGGGTTAAAAATTAATTAAAATAGTTTTAATTTGATCTTTTTACTTTAAAAAAAATCCTTTTTTGAT